CTATAAAAGCACAAGGTTGACGTCAGTAATAAGTAGATAGAGAAAGAGGACAGCAAAACACAGAAAATTAAAGCTTTTAAATATAGATAATAAAGGTAAATTAGAAATCTTAAACAACATAGTTCTATTTTCCTTTCATGCTCCTAACATTTGCATGGCCCATTCAAAGGATATAATATCACATGTATCCATCTGCTTTTCCACAACAGTACAAATAATTTTTATTCCCATTTTACAGTACAGGCTTGCAAATATACCTCTAGAGTCACACAGATGACTGAGACAGAGCTATGACCCAAATCTAGCAATCTTGATTGCTAGCAAAACATAACACGGGTGAATTTCAGATTATAAAGTGTTAATTAGACACAAATAATTGCATATATTCAAGTATTTGAGTATTAAAATAGGAATTTCTACTGTTCCTTAAGTCGTTCCTAGTTTTAAATACCTAAATACAGTTATTGGGGGAAAAAAACCCCAGCCTATAAAATATCATTTGCCTGCATTCTTTAATAAATCTCAGTTATAAAGAAAGTAATTTTTTTCAGTAAGTTTCTACTATTTTACAAGACATATTACTCTTTTAGATCCAGGAGGAAAATTATGCCCTTAGTTGTTTCTGTAAATGTGATCCTATCCCTTAATAAAGAGCCATGCTTTAAGACTACTTAATTGCTATTTTCTTATTAAGCACATTGACAATTTATTAATTTCTAAAGAGGCTCTCAAGATGTATTTCAAAGAAAATCCAAAGACCCAAATTAGGCAAGAAATCAAATCTTTCATTATAATTTCTTCTGGATTATAAATTATCCATTTAATACTAATTCAATATTGACGTGAAAGAGATAGTTGAGAAAATTCACAAGTAACACGTTGTTTTTTCTACCACACTATTTACTACTTAACATGACAGCCTTTCTATTTCTAACAGCAACATTATTTCTTGCATTCAACTCTAACACGTACCCTAAAGTCTTCTATTTTGAAAACTCCCCTTTCACACCATTGTCCCACCTCCTTAAGCTGACAGTATCTTTTTAAGTATACAGAATTTATCCAAACTTATTAAGGACTATATAGTTTTTGGGCCATATGTGGATAGTATAAAAACATAAGACATGTATTAGCAAAAGCATTTGACTATAAAAATGTAACTGTGTGCATGTATTCTTTTGTGTATTACAGCACTACATTCTAAAAACAAACTGACATCTCAGTTTATTTTACTTACACAATAAGTTTAATTTACATAGAAATGATAGAGCATTTCAGGAACAAGTCTTAAAAAACAATTTCTGCTGAATAACTGCTATAATAATCTCCTTAAGAGAGAAATAAACATAAACTAAAATGACAGTTGTGAAACATATATAGTATCTTTCAGCTAAACACAATATTTGATATTCAGTAGGAAACCACTTTAAGAAAAAAAATGAAGTTTTCTTTTAGGTTACTGCTTGAAATCAAAACCTGTTTCCTTAAAACTTCCAAGATTAAGCACAGCAAATACTGTTTATTAAAGCAGGCTCTCAGGGAGAAAACTCAAATTTGCACTGTCTCCTGAATGCTCCCTTGACCATCAAGAAGACAGAAAAGGGTTTCAGTGCTTTTCTGACCAGTAACTGGTGACATGCTATCCACAGGTTCTTGCTTAGTGGAACTAGAGATCTTAGTAGTAATATCAAGTATTCAGTTATTTCTAGAATTTAAATACAAAAGTTTATTTGTTTGAACTGTGAACAGTTATACAAGAACTTGCACTTTCTAAATTATAATGATAGAAGTCTGAAGCATGACTGTGAAGGATAAAATTTTTAAATAGAATATGATACATTTATAGTCTCTTTTTACCAATCTTAACCAACAAAGCTTTCGTATTCTGAAATTTCTAGATCTTAGATGGGAATTGAAATAGAAATAATTAAAATTATTTAGCTTTACAAATAGAAAAGTAAGGCCAGGGATTTAGCTCAGTGGTTCTGCCGCCTGCCTCACAAATGCCAGGTCCCAAGTTCGATCCCCAATACAAAAAAAAAGCCAAACAAATAGAAAAGTATCATTATAATTTTCTTTTCTTCTAATAGGAAAACATATATTTTTATGTTTAAGTTCTTAACAATGAGAAATTTTCTAAGATGCAAAGATTCAGAATTTATACTAAAAAGTCTATGCATCTGTGTCACATTTATTATTCAACAAATATCATGAGGATACAGAAAGTTTCCCTAAATTGTTTAAATATACGTATTTTTAAAAAAGTGTAATGTAAGGTGATAAATAACATAAAAGCAAATACAGCAAACTTATGCCTTTATTTTACTAACATTTTCTTTATTGAAATTCTATTTCCTTATTTTTTATTTTAAACTATTGTAAATGGCATTCATTTTTAATGTCACCTTAAATCAGTTTTCACATAAGACAAAATAGGAAGGAAAAGAGAATGGGATGAAGGGAAACTGAGAAGAGAGAAAGACTCTAGCAGAGAGGATGAGGGAAGGCTTCCTGAAGGTGACAGGAGAGAACAGAGATCTGAAGGTAGGCGGAGGTGAGGTTTCCTGACCACACAGAGGCATGTCAAGAGGATAAAACAGTTTAAGGTGAAAGAACAAGGTGTGAGAGAACAACAACAGTTGGTTAAATTTAACTGAAAGACATGGTTCAGAACTAGAAAGGAAGGAATGTGAATGAAAAGAGAGGTCCACAAATGTGTTCAATCCCACTATAATGAACTCTAAACAAACTGATTCACTCTAGTGAAAACTGTGTCAAAATTAGTAAATGGCTAGACCTCAGGCAACCCATTCCTAAAATGTATAAAATGAAATTCAAGTAAAAAGCAACCTTCAACAATAAAATTAGCAATGATACAAGTATCACAAACATGATATGAGAATCAAGAGGGTTTGGAAAAACACTGTAACAACCAGACACATTTCCATGTCCCATCCCTGTGCGTTTTGTTGTGGTGACTTTTATGTTAGGAAATTATGTTTACTTTTGATCCACACATTTGGAAAGAAAACGGACTGGTCCTTCTACCTGACAAGTCTATTCGTGTAATAAATGTTGATTTAATGAAAAAATGATTTAAGAAACATTAGATTAAGTTTAAATGCTATGATTTTGGGTAATCACTTGAGGCCAACTGGATTATGAGTATGAATCTGAATGCAGGCATACTAGGTGTAATGTAGGTAATACAAAATATGCTCTCAGTATAAAAATAATCATCAACGTGAAAGCTCAAAATATTTTAATTCTCATGGAATAAGATCCACCAAAAATATACCTGTGACTCTCAATATATCCAAAGAATTAGATATGAGATCCTGGGAGAAAGGAACCATTTATAAACGGGAAAATCTAACAAGATACAGTAGATGAATTTTGATACAGATCATGTTAAAAAATACAGATAGAGAGTAAAAAAGATGTAGATACCAAAAAAGACAAGGTATGTTGCGAGAGTAGCAACATGTCCAAGTGAGCTGGTACATAACATACAGCTTATGGAAAGGACTAAAGTATAAACTGCATTTAAAAACAAATAACACTAGCTCTTCTCTAAGGTCATTATAGTATGGTTATTCTATAACCATACAGCTTGAAGCATATATTCAGTGAGTAATGAGAAGGTTATTTTTAATCCAAAGTAGAAATCTTTCGTGTCATTGAATATATTTAAGTTATAAATGCTAGCTAACACTATTAAGAACTGTTAAGGGTCATTATGCTGAAATTATCTTACAGATGTTGTCAGAAGACACCACACATTTGGATCAGAAATAAAAGACTTTTTAAATCAGGGACAGCAGGCAGCATGAGCTTCATATATTCTGCATCTCTTGCCCTTCAAATTCCAAAGAAGCAATGTGGAGAGGCCCAGATGGTCATGGAGCACAGCGAGACTACACCACAACTAAGGAACCTCAAACTCAGCAAACCAAATCTTCTAAAGGCACTGCTAGCAAACCTACCATTCTTGGCTATTGGTGAGGGAAGGCAGGATCACTGTATTTATTATTTTAAGTAGCAAACAAATTTTCCTACTGTCTGGGCAGGAGACACAAACTGTACCTTTGATGACTGTTTTCTGCACAGATATCCTTGGAAAAATAGTCTAGAATATAAGTTGTTGAAGCCTTTGCTCAGAGACAGGCAGAAATGCAAAACACCCAAGGAGAATTGTCTCCCAGCATACTATAAATTCTTTAGGCCATTATTTATGCTATCATATATTCTGTATGTTATTATTTAATCAAGTAAGTCATTTTGAGTATTAAACAGTCAAAATTGAAAATATAAATTTCAGCTTGTCCTTAAGAAGTAGCTGTCTAGTTAACCCACTAAACAAATGCATCCATATGTATTTTATTAAAAATAAAATGATGATATAGAATGAGCAAAGTTTTTAGCTTTAACAAATATTCACCTAAATTACAAGTGACATTTTTAAAGGCTCCTACCAGTTTTATCATGTGTGAGTCCTAACTTTCACAAGACCTAATCCCTTTGCAAGTCAAAGGTAAGTAGGCTAGATTCAACATATTTAGCCAAAAATCAGTCTTCTTCATGTAAATAAATACTTTAAAGAACACTTATCTCTCTTGGTATATTTGGAAGACTCCACATCTCAACATTTAAAAAGATATAATTTGGCATGAATTTGTTTTCCTGTAAAATGACTCACTACAAAATTTTAAGGTCACAGAAAGGATACATTTGTATATAACAGAAATTTTTAAACTGAAGACTATGTTTCTAACATAGCCATTTAAAAATAACCCATTACAAAGAGGCAAAACACCTTATTGTTTATTAGTGTTTGCAGTAAATATTGATTATATTCATTATAGAGAGATCATATGTGTACATAATACATCTTAATTTTTTTGTTCCCTTCAAGAGGCATAAACTGCTGCATCTTCAGAACATTTATTCTGAGTATTTATAACTGCAAAACACAAAGTTCAAAAGTATACATGACATACCTCTCCCAGAGCCTCGTATCTTTTCTGGTTCCATCTGTGCAAGTCTTCCCGGTAGTTAAAAACAAATGGTTCCCCAGTTTTTATATGTCTTAACTGGCCCTCTAGAAAAAAAATATATTGCCATGATTAAGAGTATATTTAAAATAATATGGAAAGTACAATAAATAATGTCTGATAAAAATTTAACTGTCTCAGTTTATTTTTTCTCTAGATCTTTTCTTTTAATATCAATATGATGCAAAACTATTACTAGTATAAAAGAATGGTCCCTAAGTACTCAAAAGCTACTGTTGTTCTTCATCACACTAATGTAAATCGGACTAGCAATACTTTAGGGCTGACTATGTAGGAGAATCTCTACCAGATATTGCAATGACACATAGTCCCAGTTCTCATGGAGTTTGGAGCCCACAAAAAAGAGCAAAACGGTAAATATTAAAAAGCTGAGCAACTTTTCAGGAAATTAAACAAACTAGAAGGAATAATTTATTCATGCAGACAGTTAAAGTTTAAAATAATTTTGTACAAATGAAGAACCCAATGGGGTTGAATAGGGTCAAAAGATTTCAGTGACCTTTTGCAAGTAGGCATAAAAACATGAGTAAGATATCAAAAGGAAATGAGAAAGAGTCAGTGAGCTAATAGATTCAGACTGTGAAATCAGACTCACTGAGACAGTCCTTTCCTCTGATGGATAGAACCTTTTGGCCCAGAGAAGACAAGGTCTCTTTAGTGAAGCAGACAGGTTACTTCATACACTGGTGAGCATCTTGGTTAAGATATTTTATTTCTATACGCCCAAGAGTTACAGTGCCTCTGTGATATTATTCAGAGAAATATCCCCCATATGTCAATGACTGTTTACTGTGAGTAATGCTGAACCACGCAAGGAGGTCAAAGCATTCCATTGATAAAGACTCAACTCATAGCAAATACTGGTCTGTATTTACTAAAAGCTTTACTTACCAGCATATTTTGAGGAGAAAAGACAGATCATCTGTCATTTTTCTTTCCCCAGAAATATTCTCCTTGTAATCAGGAGAAAAATAGATCACAGGCCAATTGCTTTAACCTCTCCTCACCTTTAGGCAATAAAATATCACTACTTATATATATATTGGCATAAAACATCTTTTATAAAAAATTAAAGTATCTAAAAAAAAAACTGATCAAAGTTTCTAGTACCTTCTGTTTAAACTCATTTAACTTTCTAGTACACAGAATTAAAGCCCTGACACCTATAACTGATACTGTAAAGGGACATTCAAGAATACAGTGATGACAGATCACCAATTCAGTTTAATTCAGAGCAGCAACAAACAGAAAAGTACAACTCAAAGGCCACCGACCCTCTAATAACACTACCCTTCAAGTATAACAGTGTATTTTTAATCCAATGAATCATGATTCTTTGTTCCACAAACATATCTGCAATCTATGATATGTTCTTCCACATGCCAGGTATAAAGATTATTTTATTCAGAACTTAATGAATTTTAAGACAAGGTTGTTGCCTGAAAAAACATGGAAAATTGAGTAATGTCCTTTAAAACATTGTCACGAGTAATTGCCAACCACTTCGCTTTAAATAGCACATGAAGTAGTAGCATCTTTCTATCTTTCTGTATAATTTAATTAAGCATTCAGCTGCATATCAGAAAGCTGAACACTCAAGGTCGAAATGCATAAACTTGATCAAACTCATGCCCATCAGTTTATGTGAGCTGACAACTACAGGAAATTGTTACTTGGTTCTTACACTTCGGTGAAGAATTTCATCACATAAAGTATTATTTCTCATAAGAAATACATAAAACATTCCAGCGGGCCTTTAGAAGTAGCAAATAATATCTACGCTAGGATCCTTTTAACAATGTTAAGTACAGTTTGCATATAATATGTGCCACTTACTTTCATTAAAAGCATATTCAAATCCTTCCAGGGTATCAGGAAAATCAAGAGGTGGTTCATCTTTTTTCATTAGTTCATCCAAATCTATCCTAGATAATAAATCTAGAAAAAAATGAAATTTACTTATACTCATTTTCATAGTTAATAACAAAGTTTATATTTAAAATTATTTTAGATATTCTTTCATTAGATTAATTTTACATGTTATTTAAGTTTTTAAATTCCCAAAATGTTATATTATGATCAAAAACAGAATTAACATAAGTCTATTAAAATCCTAATTCTCAAAACAATCACAAGTCAGATTTTTTAAACCACTGAAATAAATCACTAACTTCTTCCCTTCAAAATAAATAACTATTAACTGGCACCTTATTAACTTTACTATATATTATAAAAGTATCAGATATTAACATGACTTTTAGAAGATCATTAAACCTTACATATGAATGAAATTATTAATGAGGGAACTTATAAATCTAAATACTGGCAATATATTACTCCACAGGGAAAATAAGAAAACATGCTAGCTGGAAGAAATTAGTTGACACAAAACAGTTTCTATTCTTCACATGATTTGATTTCACACAATCAACAAAATCAACAAGTTGGTTTTTCTAAAATAAGCAAAATTCCAAGCTTTTATTTTGAAATAAGTTTATAATTATGGAAACACTAAAAAACAGTACAGGTTGTCCGCATAACCTTTGCTCAGTTTCCCCTAACGTTAACATGTTACATCACCATGGTACATTTGTCAAAATGAAGAAACCAACGTTGGCATATTACTACCAACATAAGTGAAGCACAGATACTACTCATACTTCACCAGTTTTCTACACTAGTGTTCATTTTCTGTTCCACTATTCCACTTGGATTATCACACTGCATGCAGTTATCATTTCTCCTCAGTCTCCTCTTCTAGTCTGTGATAGGCAACTCTCAGACTTTCCTTCTCTTCCATGACCTTCACAGTTTTGGGGGTTTTTTTGTACCGGGGATCAAACTCGGGACCTTGTGCTTCCAAGGCAAGCATAGGAACCATTGAGCTAAATCCCCGGCCTGACCTTCACAGATTTGAGGAATACTGCTCAGGTAGTTCTAGAATAACCTTCAACTTAGGGTTATCTGATGTTTTCTCATGGGATGTCTTTTCTTTCTCTAGTCTTAGAGTTATAATTTTTTTGAAAAAATTCCAGAGGTGAATTGCAGTTAGAACATCATACCACAGGGCATATGATACATACAAAACACTGAAGATGACATTAACCTTGGTTGTTTGGTTAACATAGTATGTCCTAGGCGTCTCTACTACAAAGCACTATGTTTCCACTTCCATAATCTATTCTTTAAAAGTGTTCTTTAAAAGTCTGGCCTACCCTCAAGGAAAGAGGAGTTAGGCTCTGCCTCCTGGAGTAAGAAACATCTAGATATATTATTTGTAATGCTTTTGTGTGGAAAATTTGTTTTACTCCATTTACATAATTAATCATTTATTCATAACTAGTACAAATACTCCATTTATTTTCTCAAATTTTTTAAGTCATGGTCATTATAAGTTGTTCAGTTGTCTCCCATGTCCCCTTTGACATAACCTTATCTCCAGGTTCATCCTGTATCTTCCCTGCTCCAGCCCCAGAATCAAGGATTTGATCTCATTCAGGACCATATTAGGATGAAACACTGTGTGTCAACACACAACCACTTCCAAGATCAAAACAAAAAGTACAAATGTATTCAGTTACAAAAAGATGTGAAATCATTTTTGTCAAATCACAAAAAGGTGAAATTTTTAGTTTCTTCATTCTAATTCAAGTTCCTGAAGACAAAAGCTTCTAGAATTTGTTGTAGGGCAAACCAGTCTCTTTCCTACCAAAGAAGTATCTCAAAAGTAACACTATATTTGTCTTTCACTTACAAAGACATTTCAAATCCATTCTCAAAATACATCATCAAATACATCATCAAAATATGCTAGAGAGAAAGGCATTTTATCTACCTCTTTATAGAGCATGAAGATAAGCCATCAAAAATTTCATCTGAAAAATTGTTTAGTAGTCTTCAAATTCCTCATCATATAAACCTCAACTCACAAAAAGATATGTCATTTTCAACATAAAAAACACAAACTCTAGCAAAACAGAAATGTCATGAAACATTCACACTGGGTTTTAAAAGGAACATATGCTGGCAATTCCTCACCCTAAATTAGTAAAGTTCTGAAAACTATGTAAATCTTTTCAAAATAAAGACAAGTTTTTAATATGAAAAAGTGGCTTGGGGGTGGCTAACAGATTCTCGCTGCTCTCCTTCCAATGAACTGATGTTCTGAGTCAACAGTAGATTCCTTCACTCCACCATCATCTCCACAGTTCAAAACCTTGGAAATTGCATGAATTATATGCACAGGAACTCTCGGATACATGAGCAGATGTGTTGTGTCTAAGAGGCATCTTCTGTTTCTATCAGGTTAGAACAAGAAATGCAGCCTTACATATCTCTGTAAAGATTTCAGTGCCTTTACACCTTTTGATCATTTGATCATCACAACTCTATAATAACAAGGATTATCAATCACTGTCTTTTAGACAAGAAAATGAACTCAGAGGGTAAGATGGCTTTTCTGAAATTACAGCTATTAAGTAGGTTAATAAAATAAATACATTCCCCAAACGTAACCTATCGCTGCTTCAAAGTCACATACCAATTTTAGGGACCCTATTAACCTTATAATAATTTGTCTGATAAAAAATAAACAATTGGGGCCGGGGATTTAGCTCAGTGGTTTCGCTGCCTGCTGTGCAAGTGCAAGGACACGAGTTTGATCCCCAGTACCAAAAAAAAAATTAAAAAATTTAAAAAAAATAAACAATTATAAAATCAAAATGTATTTTTGCTTTGCTCAAAATATTTCTCTGAATGATAAAATGAATAAAAAGACATTCTTCAAATCTCCTCTGTCAGCTAGAGAACCCAATACAGATGTTTTCATTAGCATTCAGAAGGTATGTATATAGAAAGGAACCGTCATAAGTTAATTTTCTTCTTTTGCAAAAGGAGTATTGTAAAGTTGCATTTTACTCTGAAACTGGGTTCCAAAGGCAATGGATAAGTATAATGAAAGATTTCCATGGGAGATTTCTTCAGTCTTCTAAAATATATAGTAGACTTGAATCCACATAACCTAAATACAGTAGTCATCAAAAGTAACTTTTTTTCCTACAGTATGGCTCTGGTAATTAAAATGATTTGTCAATTAGAATTCTAAATCTCAACCAAGCGTACACAATAAGTGTATACAAATATTCTTTCACACCCAAAAGAAATGAATAAGAACTCAAATATTTTTAATAATTCAGAATAGAAGTATTTATAATTGTCAAAATGTAGACGCAACCCCACTGTATATCAATAAATGAATGGTGTAATAGTTAATTTTATGTGTCCACAAGTACGTTTCTGGATTACACATAAGATGAGTAAAGCAGATCACCTTTCCAGTGTGTACAGGCCTCACCCAGGCAAAGGAAGGCCTGAACAGAACAAAAATACTGAGGGGCAGAATTCATTCTGTGCCTGACTTTGAGCTGTGACATCGGTTTTCTCCAGCCTTGAGACTCGAAAAGGAATTTACATCACTGCCTGTCCTCAGGCCTTTGGACTTGGACTGAACCTGTCACCAGCCAGGGTCTGAGGAGGTGCTTAAAGCGGTCATAAGGACCCTAGCCCACCATACCCATAGACTAGGACTGCAAGTTCGAGGACTCTCGTATCAGAAAAAGAATATTAACATTAGTCAGTAAGAGACACGGGAAAGGTTTTAGTAGGCAGAAATTTAAGTATACACTCAAAGAAACAGAGTGCAGGCCTTCAAAAGAGAGAGGAGCATTATTTCCTGGAATGGGAACATTTGTGCTTCAAGAGGCTGGAAAAGGATGCCCAACCCCCAGAAGGGTACTAACGCATTTACAGGTATGGGCCCGGTTTTGCTTTGTTTTGATTTTCCTAAGATAGGTAATTTAAATATCCCTTGGATTCTCTAAATCTTTTCCTTTATCTTAGGATCAGGTTCCTGCTCTTCTTTCTCAATTATGCCAACTTATGGTCTTTCAGTATTCCTGAGGAATTTTGGATGTGATGGGTCTGGAAGAAAAGGAGCTTAAATTTTACCAAGGGAATGCTGACATGGATTGTCTTAGGTGTTTTTGTATGTGTCCTGGAAGTTGCAGTCTTCTAAGAAGTACAATTTTTACTTAGGATTTTCTTGTCTCCTTTCTACCTATCTTCTTTTACTTCTTCTATCCTACATCACAACTATACTGTCAGCTTTCATGAGTCTCCAGGTGCTGACAACAGACATTGGGACTCCTCAACATTCAATTATCACATGAGCCAATTCCTTATAATGACCTCTTCCTGTATCCATATACATACACAGAATTGATTCTGTTTCTTCGAAGAATCTTGGCTAATGCAAAGGATGAAGGGAATGTGGCATATACATACAGTGAAACATTGTTCATCCTTAAAAAGGAAGAGCATTCTGATGCTACATGGATGTACCTTGACAATATGTGAAGTGAAATAAGCTGTTACAGAAAGACAGGACTGGGGATTTAGCTCAGGGGTTCCACCACCTACCTTGCAAGTGCAAGGTCTGGAGTTCAATCCCCAGTACCAAAAAAGAAAAGAAAGAAAGACAAATACTACTGTGTAATTCCACATATATGAGGTGCCTCGTGTGTAATCAAAGTCATGGAGACAAGAAGTAGAACAGTAGTTTCCAGAGGACAGACAAGAGAGGGAATAGGGGATTCTTGTTTAGTGGGTAGAGTTTCAGTTTGGCAAAATGGAGTGAGTTCTACAGATGAATGGTGGTGATGATTACATAATGAGGATATACTTGATGCCACAGAACCAAACAGGTAAACTGTCAATTTCATATTTTATATATTTTACCACAATAAAACAAAACAATATTTTAATTCTTTAATTATTAAAACTTTATTAGCTAAATGAGGATTTCAAACATTCCTAGAATGTACTTCTGGCCAAATTAGAACAAGGATTGGATTCTTGACACTCTGTTTAAACTAGAAAGC